AATGGCCTATTGTCTTTTTTTAAAACCACTAATAGGGCGTGGCAAGGTGGCTCATACCTAGAATCCCAGCAGTCGGGAGGCTAAGGTGGAAAGACTGCTTTAACCCAGGAGTTTGAGACCGGACTGGGCAACATAGCGAGACTTTGCTTCTGTGAGATAATTAAATGTGACCTGGGCCGGGCTCAGTGGCTCAGCCTGTAATCCTGTGCCTTTGGGAGGCTGAGGTGAGTGGATTGCCTGAGCCCGCGGGTTCGAGATCCGCCTGGGCAGCGAGACCTCATCTCTACAATAAATCAAAAAATCAGCCGGGCACGGTAGCGCATGCCTGTAATTCCGGCTACTCGGAAGGCTGAGGCGGAAGGATCGCCGGAGCCCAGCAGGTTGAGGCTGCGGTGGCTGGGAGCGGCCACTGCACTCCAGTCTGGGCGAGACAGTGAGACTCCAACTAAAAAAAAAAAAAAAAAGTGACCTGGGCATAGTGCAGGCAAAGTGTAATCCCAGCACTTTGGGAGGGTAAGGCGGGAAGATTGCTTGAGGCCAAGCATTCAAGACCACCCTGGGCAACATAGTAAGACCTCATCTCTACAATAAATCAAAAAAATCAGCTGGGTGTGGTGGTGTGCATTTGTAGCCCCAGCTACTCAGGAGGCTGAGGTGGATGACTTGAGTCCAGGTGCAGGCTGCAGTGAGCTGTGATCATGCCATTGCTCTCCAGCCTGGTTGACAGAGTGAGACCCCGACCCCAAATTAACAAAAACACCCATAATAGTCATACTAGTGGGTGTGAAGTGGTATATCATTGTGATTTCCTTTTACATTCCCATAATAACTGATGATGTTGAACATCTTTTCATGTGATACTTCAACATTTGTATATCTTTTCTGGTGAAATATCTATTCAAATCTCTTTGGGTAACTTATTTAACCTCTGAGCCTCACTTTATTTACTCTTCCGAGAAAAACAACTTTCACCCAGCTTCTAAGGCCATAAAGTGATTTTAAGCGTCTGCAAGGGACCTGCCACATACTGAAGGCTTTAGTGTTGTAATTATTGTCCTGCCAGCCCATAGGAATGACCCTTCTCCACAGGTTCCTCCCTTCTCAGCAGGAAAGTGAAGGAATAGCACCACTTGCCCAAAGGGCCCATCGTGTTCCAGATGTCCCACTGAGTAACTCTGCATGGTCTGTTTCATAGCCACCAGAATGCCTCTGATGAAGCATGACCCCTGTATTTGTAAGGGTTAAAACCTTAAGGCCAGAGATATTCAGCAACTTCTCCAAGGCTGTACAGTGGAAAGTGGGGGAGTCTAAGATTTGAACTCAGAGCTGATGATGATGCCAATGCCTACACCTTTCCAAACACTTGCCTGCTTGGGAAAACCAGAGGCTCAGTCTGGCTGTGGGTGGTACACCCAGCCTGGCATCCAGGAGGCTGGAGATCAGTGGCTAAGAACACAGATGGCCCCACCACTGACCAGCAGCACAACACAGGGTAAGCTGCTTATCTCTTCTAGGCCTCAACATCTCTATAAAGTGACGCAGAGAACTGTTCCTCCTTCAGAGGGTAGTTGTGAGGATCAAGTGCTTAGCACAGTGCGTGGCCCACAACAAAGCAGGTAGCTTTCTCCTTCATGTCTGGGCTGCTGCCCTACACCCCACCCAGCCCTCTTGGCTCTCCTCTGCCATAGGCTTTGGCCATCCAAGAACATGTCTTGATCTTGACCCTGGGAATGTAAGGGGTTGGGGCTCTCAGGGCTGGCCCCTTCTCCCTCTTAACCCTACTTCTTGCCCCTGGACAGTGCTCCCCCACAGAAACAGGGAGGATCTTGTAAGGGCCTTGAGTTCTCTAGAATGATTATTTGTGATTAAGTATAAGAAAAGCAGAATAAGCTGGGCTCGGTGGCTCAACCTATAATCCCACACCTTGGGAGGCTGAGGTGAGTGGATTGCCTGAACCCACGGGTTCAAGACCCGCCAGGGCAACCTGGCGAGACCTCATCTCTACAATAAATCAAAAATCAGCCGGGCATGGTAGTGCACACCTGTAATTCCAGCTACTCGGAAGGCTGAGGCGGAAGGATCGCCGGAGCCCGGCAGGTCAAGGCTGTGGTGCCGGGAGCAGCCACTGCACTCCAGTCTGGGCAACAGAGTGAGATTCCAACTCAAAAAAAAAAAGAAAAAAAAGCAGAATACTAAAAAATAAACTTTATTAAAGCAGGTAAACTTGGCATTGAATAACACTCTTTAAATGGCACTCCTATGAAGCAAGAGTTAAATATAAGCACAGTTTAATTCTGTACACTTTTGATTGTGATAATTCCAAGTTGCTCACTTCTTCTCCAGGCATCAATTCAGAGAAAAGCCCATTTCATGTTTTCCTCTCACCTCCTTGCCTTGGTGTCAAACCAGCCCTGGCTTGGGCTCCAGTTGGAGGATCCCAGTTGTAGGTACCCCTGGACTTTCCTACCGAGCTGGTCTGACTCCAGCCCTAGCCCCTCTCTCTCCGCCAACTGTTGGAGATGTGCAGTGTTGTCTGGCTTCTAGTACCAACCACTCCTTCAGAGCATCTTCAAACCTGGCACAGGAGAGGAAGCTAGTGCTGCTTGGCCTGAACAGATGTAAGGAGGATTTATCACAAGAACCTGAAAACTACCTGAGTCTGCCCACTCTGTGCATCGCTGGAGAGGGACAAGGGGAGGCTGAGGCCACTCAACCAATGGCTTTGGATCACAGAAAGGAAGACAAAGGCTGCCTTAGTCCTTCTTGCCTCCCAGGACTGGGCTTCGTGTGAGGAGTTTCCCTGGGCTGGAGGGGGCCAGTGTGGAGACTGTGGGGGATTCCAGCTTCACTCTGTCGAGGAGGGTCTTCTTCAGGGCAGCTGGGGAGATTTTTTCTTGGTCAGCCATGGACTGCAGCTCCCTGCAGACAAAGCCCCAGAATGGTTAAAGGAAGGCAATAAACTTTGGAGCCACATAACCCTCAGCCTTGTTAATTTGACACCATCAAAAATTAGAACCCGCCAGGCTTGGTGGCTCAGTCTGTAATCCTGCGCTTTGGGAGGCTGAGGTGAGTGGATTGCCTGAGCCTGCGGGTTCGAGTCCCGCCTGGGCAACTTGGCAAGACCTCATCTCTACAATAAATCAAAAATCAGCCGGGCGTGGTAGCACGCTCCTGTAGTTCCAGCTACTTGGAAGGCTGAGGCGGCAGGATCGCCGGAGCCCAGCAGGTGGAAGCTACGGTGGCCGGGAGCAGCCACTGCACTCTAGTCTGAGCGACAGAGTGAGACTTCAACTCAAAAAAAAACAACAACAAAAAAACCCACAAAAATTAGAACCCCCAAACACACACTTCCACAAGCGTCTAAGAAGTACTAGTTAGCTGGTTGGGTGCGATGGCTCAGCCTGTAATTCCAGCACTTTGGGAGGCCAAGGTGAGAGGATTACCTGAGTCCGGGAGTTCAAGACCAGCCTGGGCAACTTGGTGAGACCTCATCTCTACAATGAATCACAAAAACTAGCCGGGCATGGTGGTGTGCATCTGTAGTTCCAGCTACTTGGTTTTTGTTTGTTTGTTTGTTTGTTTTGAGTTGGAGTCTCACTCAGTCACCCAGACTGG